GGCAGAGCGGTTGGCAGGGTTTCCAAAGGTAGACAAAAAACTTTGTGGAGTTTTCCAGGGAAGATACAGGCCAAAAGAGAACCAAGGGAGAATTTGAAAAAAAGAAAAAAGAAAGAAAAAAAACTGTTCATTTTTACTTTGTCTGCTTGTTTTCTATGTATCCTTCAGAGAGTCTTTTCAATCCTGTTGCCTGGATTAAGTGTAACACACTTTCATAGGCACCCTTTAATTTTAGATCCTGACCTTTGTCCTCCTAATTCCTAGGAAGGAAACTGAACAGGCAAATGTTTACTCAGAGATTATATTTTTATACAGAAGAATATAGGACTTACCACTCTCTTTTCCCTAAAATCGATGCCCACTGTCGTGATAAATTTAGAATTAAATTTACCATCTGTGTACTGGTAAAGTACACTGGTCTTCCCTACTCCAGAGTCTCCCAAAGCTAAAAACTTGATGAGGTAATCATAATCTCCATCAGACATAATGAAGCACTCAGTGGTTCACCTGAAAAATATAAACAAATGAATATTTATTAAAGTCTATTAGAAAACATTAAGTTATCCATTAACAAAGTGGCCACTTAATATTCAGTTCAACAGGGACTGGGGTTGTGGCTCTGTGGTAGAGCACTTGCCTGGCATGTGTGAGGCCCTGGGTTCAATCCTCAGCACCACATATAAATAAAAAAATAAAGTAAAAACTCCATTAGCAACTAAAAAATATTTTTTAAAAAATATTCAGTTAAACAAATCTTCTATATAAAACCTATGTATCTAGGCATTCAGTGAAGAGAGGGTTACATAGTGTTCACTTTCCCTGAGGACCTAATAGTTCACTAAATGAGATGCTACTGAAATAGTAAATAACAGTTTAGTTTTCATTTAACATACATATTATACTACCAATGAGAATGATAATCAGTAATAAGAAAATATAACAAAAACTGATAAGAGAAAGGAGGAAGGACAATGTTTTAAGGTATCATAGAAATACTTAGAGTGCAAGTGGTTTCAATTCTCCCTCTTTTTCAGTTTTCTAGTGCTAGATCACTAGCTTTTCTTTTTATTTTGACAACTAAGCAATTTCATTTATCCTATTCATTTTTACATGTTATTAAAGTTCCTTCAAAGACATTGCTAATTCATAAGTAAAATTTGACTTGTGGCTCCTTTATGCCTTATTAACATATACTATTTACTAAATCAGAATTCTTGGAATATTACTGCTTACTGAGTTTCATATTGTGGCTATTAGTACTCAGATACCACAGGTCTGTAGCTAAGGGCTCATTTACCTACACCTACACCTGATATTCTAACAAAAACTGCTGAAAA